CTTACGTCAATATTTTATTTTTAATTTGGCGGTTATTGAAATAGTTTTTATCAAAAAGGTTCTAACGCCATTCTATTAAAGGGCCGTCCTACTCCTACTGGCAATATTGATAATTAACTGCCAACGCCCTTGGATCACATCGTGTATTTCCAGAAGGCATGATGGTAACTAGGCTACGTTTTTACTATAAAACAAGTCTATAATAAAATCGTTTTATTTTATTGCCTGTTAAGGTCGTCGCGTGACTTCGTTTAATTCAGTGCGAGTCAGTTCTAGTACTTAATATATTAGTAATTTTACTATTAAAACCTTCGTGTATATATTTAAGTGTGTATCTGTGCAGCTTATTACATAATAAGAAAGCTCTAATTTAACAACTGTACTGTTTTAACATTAGTCTCTTCTGTCCCTTTCATTAACACGTAAACACGGTTTGTCCGAAAGAGACGAGAGAATTTAGTGTAATCCGACTCGTATTTATGAATAAGGGTGATAATCTGTAGTAATTAAAAGACAATAAAAACTACAGATTAAGTCGTTAAAAGACAATATAATTCTAGATAAAATGCCAGTTTAGTTCAAAAGGTTTATAAGTGATGTTATGTAAACAGGAAACGAAGTGGGCGCGCCATGTTCCTGATTGTAACAATCGCGAATATATTGCGCATTAACTTTGACATATCCTGCGAGCTTTGTCTTAATTTTATGGTTTATAATTGTATAACATGTTCTGTGTTAATAGGGTTCAATATCCATTCAAATGAATGATGTAAATTAACAGCTGCTAGCAAATACGCAAATATAAACGCGAGAGTAGTCTCGTATTATATAGTATATTAATAACCATATTAATAGCCGTATAGTACATATATACTATATGGCTAATGGTTAGCCAAGCCATACTTACGTTAAGTTTCATCTCTATTGTGTTAAGTATTATAGAAATTGGACTAAATTATATTTAATGTGTCAAAAAATTATAGCGCCGTAAACCTAAATAAATATTAGCTACAAAAAGCATTGGCAAATAGAAGAATCAAGTAATACAAATTGAACACTCATTTCCAGCGATGACAAGTTAACAGACTAGGAAACGAATGAATACAAAATCTAAAAACGACAACGTGATACAGAAACCTACTTCTTGTGCCATTAACAATTCCGCCCACGGTTCACCTTGAACACAACGAAATCATTCGTAAAAAATCTCCGATAGTGAGTCGCGAGATTATCATTATATCATTAATTTCGTATCATTAATTTCGTATCATTAAAATATGAATCGTTATATCATTAAAGCCTTTTAAATGTCACATGTTGCTCGCGTGATAGTTCGTATGTGGCACCACGTGGTGTTACGTAAAATAGAAAACCATGACTAAAACGCTGAATAAAACCTAGACAGGCCTTTTGATACAGTAATACATACCTTGCATTTCTTCATATGGTAATATCTGTATAATTTTAGTTATTATTAACCTAGTATTTAAACGTGTTAACTCAAACTTAGATTCTTACCCTAAGTTTTAAGTGTCAGGCCCTAGTTCTTCCTTGGCTTAAATGCTTCAAATATCAATGTTTACGTATTTAAAATATCATAAAACTATTTTAAAAGAGTAAGTATGTAGTTTCTTGCTCATTCTTCTCCATATGACCTTTTGGAAGGGGCAACTGGTCTTTTTTTTAAAAGTAAACTTGTAATTTTGACTTTCAAAAGTGCCTTTTTCATAGGCCTAATCGAAATAAATGATTTGACTTTGTCTTTATGATTGATTAGATATTCTATTAAGGGTCGTAGCGCATTAATTAATTCACAAATTTAAAAGTTACAATAATACTTTGTTGAAGTCGATAGCACAAACTGTCCAGTAGATTTTGCCCTCGGCTAAGTGATTTCTACTTTCTAATGCTATATCGTGCTGCGTTGGTAAACTTCCATAACGAAATACATATATAACAATATTATATAAAAGTGCTCTCGACCTCATTCGACTTCGTACCGACTTAACTCAATTTAAGGTCTCCTAATGATACAATTGTGCGACTTATGCCCGATGCTCAAAATCACACAAGCAAAATACTGATGATTTGAATATACATACTAATTAAATTAAATAAAGATAATAAAAGCGTAGCCATGCTTTTTATGAAACCCAATAATTCTTAATTAAATTAAACATAATTGACAGGAACGCCTATAAATTGGGTGAAGACTGAAGTGTACTTTCTATGTCAGTAACTAAATTATCTTCTCTATTTTATAGACCGGGACAAATGTGTCGGAGGTTCATCTTTGATGAATGAATTCGATCGGATATAACTCTACAGAGTAGCTGGTTCTACATAGTGGTTGTGCACAGCAAAAATTGCCTTAAAAATGGCTCAGTTGTGGAACGCCAGACTACTAGGTGAAACGGGTGGAATTGGTATTCTTCCGATGATGAAACTCAGCTGCAGGTAATCTATACTTATATATTGAAACAATTATTGTATTACGAATCATTTGGACGTTATTAAGACCCTGAACTATCAAACTTCTATAATACATATATTACATTCTTGTATAAAATGCTGATGAAAGACTAAACCATGCTAATGACTTGCATGAGCTTGCACAACTAGCATGACGTTTGTCACCAATCCGTAATGACCGTTGTCAAACAAATTGCCAAGTAGGTCGTCCTTAAACCAAGTGATTGACAGAAAACACATTTATCTAATATTCTCATTGACTGCGACGGATAAAATCATCACAGATAAAAACTTTCTAATTTTAAAAGACAAAATGATTGTTGTCTATTTATCAGTAATAAAGCAACTATTTGCATACCGCCACATTCTAGAATTGCGTTGTCTATAACGCGTGGTACTCGTCTATGGTACACATATCGATGTAGGTATGCGTTCAATCGATTTCAAAGTGGTAGATTGGAAGGGGGAGCTTACATTATGTTTGCCAGCTTTGTAACGGTCAAGGTTATAATTATGGGAACTATTTCAGTAGATTGTACTTTTAAGATTTAGATGTTAATGGAACATCTGCCCATGCAAGCTGATAGTGAAAAATATTAAATTGGTATTGATAACGCGAACGTCCAACCTAAGTGCTTATTGCTACTGAATTTTATTGTATTATAATTAATTAATAATTATAAATAAATTATAATAATTACTAGCTGATCCGGCAAACGTCGTTTTGATGGTTTATTCAGTATTAGTTTTTGTCAAAACTTAAAAATTGGGGGGGAAAAAAAATTTTTTTTTTTTTTCCCCCCCCCCCCTTTTTTTTTTTTTTTTTTAAGGGGGGGCCCGCTCCCCCGGGGGGGGGGGATTCAAAAAACTTTTTTGGGGAAATTTTTTTTAAAAAAAAAAAAAAAATTTTTAAAGGAAGCTACATTTTGATGGTTTATTCAGTATTAGTTTAAAACGCATCGTAGTCCTATTGATATTCAGACTTAATATTTATTTATTATTATAAAAAAATAGAGAATTTCTTCGCTTATAATTCACGTCGTGACATGTCTTTAAAACGGACAACATAGGTACTAGAATCAGCTAGTATGCTATATTTAGCGGACAGTTAATAGCATTAAGTGATCGTATAAAGTTTGTTTTGAATCGTCATTGGTTTTTATAGCTCCTAGCAAATAGCAACAGATACTTAGTATAGTGTTTATCAAAGCTTAGTGCGCAGTTTGGTGTTATGAGGTGACCTTGGCAATGAACGAGGGGCGTCGCGCTCCAGCGGCCATGTTGAGTCGATGAAAATAACGAAATGCATTCTAGTCAAACAAAAAAGCTATTTAGTATTTAAAAAACAGGAGCAAATAAAGATGTGTTAAAAAAAATTATTTTCCCACACAAGGTACCTTAGAAAAGCCAAAAAATGGCAGACGTATTGAAAAAAGTGTTGTTACAAATGATTCAGCAAATTTAGGTGGAACATGATTTGCTGCGAAACACTTTCAGTTTCTGTTGAGGTATCAAAATTAATCTATGTTTTTATCGACTATTTAGTTTCAGTTCTATTTTTGCTTTTTTTAACACGATTACGGATTATTTAATGTCAAGTAAGTGTAAAATTTAACCATTTATAACGTTATCATTTACTAAAATGCCACTGTACTTGGCTTATAAGTTCGTAAATTAAAAGGTACCGAATTATAGGTACCTATTAATTTTATACTTAGCTACATATTTTGCTTGCAACTTTTCACGTTCAATAACTGTTTAAAAATCGTTTCAAGTCAATAATCCTGTAATATGATTAAAAGTTTTATCTGGTTTCCACAATACATACAGAGGTGTTTTAAGTGCAGCTAAAATATTCGTTTTATCATAAGTCTTAAGTTTTTTTAGAACTTGTAAGTAGTAAACTAGTAACTAACTTTTATTATTTATGTTAGTTTATGTAAGATTCAGAAAATATACTTTCGAGTTGCGATTGACAAATAAAAGCTGCAATAATCAGAGAGAAACAACTAAAATTACAAGGTGGTCTAATAATTAGATAACATGTTCACATAATGCTATCAACGAATAAAGGTACTTATTCTGCTTCACCTAGAATTATAAGCAACTTTTAGTTCTGCAATGTACATTACATGAATTAATAATAATGCTATAAAAAACCTGTTATCTTTTCTCATTATTACGGTCATATACCTATACATCATTTATACCGTTTAATGTAGTTCTTATTGTATTTGCAGCGATGTATTTAAAGTTATACATTATCAACATAATTGATATTCTTCGGCCAAAATCGAAGTCACATTACTCAGTATACATAAAATATATTTTGTAAAATAAATATTCAACTCAAGAATATTTGCAACGTGCACTATTTTATGACAATATCAAATAAAGTACCTATATTAAAAAAACACCCAATTTTGAAAAAAAGATAGTGCCTGATAGATAGATGTTGCCTTAAAATTACTTGCCCTATTGGAATCCTATCAGATGTGAAAAAAATAACAATTAATAATAGTACTTACCGCTATCTACACTTTCTTCTGAGATCTTCTTCACCATCTTGATATATGCTTGAATCGTTGATACAATGATAATAAAATTATCGAGTAGGTGGGACTACTCTTAAAAAGCCGCTTTCGAACTTGTGCGGCCGCCTTCTCGACGAGAAATCGGAACGGCGCTTTGATAAAGGGTATAATAGAAAATAAACGCCGAATTTAAAAGAAATAAAGCACCACGGTCGAGAAGGATTTGCAGAAAACGTGTCAAAGGTATAAACAAACACTGCTAGAAGGCGGAATTAAAATATTATTTTGAGTTTTAACGATCCATCCTACACACGCCCGCCCGTTTGATGTTCTAAAATCCAACTGAAGAAATTACGGTTGGCCGTTGGGTTCGACTGGTTGCGGCGTACATCGCATCGCATTACCCCCTCGACCCCGCGGCCCTTCCCCGCAACGAGCGCGTTGTTGTGGCCTCCCCTTGCCCCTCTCACTAGCCCCTTCTGCGCATGCCTACTCGCTCACTTCAAGCGCTGACGTGTTTACATTTTTTATTGTTAAGTTTTTTCTTCTGTTACCAGTGGATAATGGATATGTTATAATATGCACAGCACTGTACTCATTACAAATGTTTCACATATTAATGATCCTATATACACATGATGTATTGCATATATTATTATATAAATTTAATTACATATCTACATAGATATGTATGTATAGGTAAGCATTGCATCATCTTGTTGATGGACGACTAACGAGGTACACGTAAGCGCCAATTTGACTTTTCGAGACACGTAGGCCGGGTTCCCACTACGCCGGACCGGCAGATCTGCCGAAAACCGGACACCGGACAGAGTGTTCACATTACATCGGATCCCGGAAGAAATTCAGACAGTCCTCAGTTGAATTTGGACCTGCGCGCACAATGGACGACGAAATTGTTGTGTTGTGGTGGTATCTTAATAGAAGGCAAAATAAAAGAAAACATTGGGTACACCCTATTTTACGGGAAAGATTTTCACTTGGAACATTTGAAACATTAATGGTGAACTTAGAAGAGACGAATCAAAGTTCTTCAATTATTTTCGAATGACAGCAACCACTTTTGACGATTTACTGGGACGACTAGACATAAGAGTACGAGATACAAGTTTCAGAGAATGTATTTGCCCAGAACAAAGATTAGCCATATGTCTAAGGTAAGATTATTTTATGCACTAGATTGCGTAATAATAGTTTTGACGTAGGTACCTACTTAAGACTGTATGAATGAATGAATGTTTGCTATGTATGTTTGTTTCATGAATGTGAATATATAAGTGTGTGTGGGAGGGTGTATATTTGATAACATTATGAATTAAAAATGCAAACAATTATTTGTATTTATTTGTACTCAAACTTAAATCCCTTCAAAATCTAAGTAATCTGAGTCTTGGGAATGTATGGAACGATTACTAGATCTGATGGCGAAGCTGGAATCGGATTCGATGTCTGAGATGAAGTTGATGGTATAGATGTTGTTGCCTGTTGATTGCTACTATTATATTGCGTAGAGTATCCAGGGTAGTGTTGATCTTGCGTAGGTATTGGCTGTTGATGACGCTATTAGTGTGTAGTATCCAGAATACTGATTGGTCCGGTTATCTGATTATATGAATCACGCCAATGTCCGTAATTTGTCTCTCATAATTCCTACTTTTAATTTTTTGCAACATTGTCATGACGCTAGCTTGAAATTCTAAAGTCTCTTCGATAGTTAAAGTGTTCAAGATTGTATAATGCCTTTGAAGAAAGATAGTTGGTTTTCCTTTTCTGGGTTTATTCTGGAGTCCAAAACTTTACCATCCTGTCATTTACCTCTTTATTATCAATTTTTTTTTATCTTTAATTAAAGGTGAACGAAAATCTGATTCCATGCCTACTTAGTCTCGGTTCTTGCTTTTTTGAAACTGACTCATGTGGTGGTCGAGGTTCGGAGACTTTTTCAAAAACATTAATTGCTCGTAATAAATAATTTCGTGTCTTTTTGGTCGAAGATCCAGTTTAGACTCATCTTTTTTTTCTTTACTGTCTTAAGCCACGAATCTCGTATATTATTCCATTTAGTTGAAACCTGTTTTCCTGAAATCAATAAAAAAATATCAAAAACAATACAATTTTTTCTTGGTGACGTATAAGTAATAAGTATTAACAAAAATACTTTTTTTCAGATATTAGCTTCAGGATGTTCATCAAAGAAATACATTACTCATACAGAGTAGGCTTTCGACAATAAGTAAACTAAAAAAGAAATGACCCACGTCATTTGGGAAAACCTAAAGACAGATTTCCTTAAGCTGCCTGAATGAGAGAGAATGGGAGGACATCGCTTCAGGATTCGAAAGAAAAGCCAACTTTCCTCACTGTCTTCGAGCAGTAGATGGCAAACATATCAGAATTTTGAAACCAGCCAAGAGTGTTCTATGTTCTTTAATTACAAGGAGTATTATTCTTTTGTATTAATGGCAGTTGTCGATTAGAGTACCGATTTATTTTTATTAGTGTGGGCTCATTTGGCAAGGAATGCGATTCTAGTATATTAAAGGATAGTACATTTTGGCAAAAGATCAATGATGGTACTTTAAATGTACCAAAGCCTAGACCGCTTCATGAAAACTTGCACGAAGAATTACCGTTTATACTTGTTGGCGATGAAGGTTTGCTTTAACACCTAATCTCCTACGTCCATATGGAGGTACACATTTGAATACTGATAAAAGATTTTTAACTATAGACTGTGAGCAAGAAGGTATGTTGAGTGCGTTTGGTATCTGGCAAATAAGTGCGAATAATCCATCGAGCTATAGATCTCAACGTAGACAAGCAATTCAAGTAATTAAAGCTTGTGCAGTCTTACATAATTTTGTAAGAGAAAAAGATATAAATTTTGAAGTTACCAAAATATAGAACATAGACAAGAACAAGAAACTACACCCATGAATCGAAATGTGTCGAGTCGAGGTGGCCCTAATGCCAACGTTGGACATATTTACTAATTATTTTTTCAGATATTGGTTCCGTTCGTGCAGGCACAGTAAAATAAAATTTATCAATGATTTACATTTTATCAATAAAACATTAAAAACTCACCGTACTGTTTTCTTTCTTTTTCATCCAGTTCATCGAAGTTTGTTTCAGTATTAAACAACTTCACGCCATGCTGCTAACTTTAAGTTTTTGTCTTTATAAACGTCTTGGTCTTATCCCACAGAACAGGTCTCTCTTGGACAAGCGTAATTAAAGTTTCTGCTTGAATATCCATGCTAAACGTCTACTTTTACCAGAACATGCGAGCCGAATGACTGAGTGGAACACGGGCGGGGCGAGGGAGCACGACGGCAGGGCGAGGGGGGGACAGATACCGGCACACAACTCGTTCACATTACTCCGGGCCCGGTCGTTCTACCGGCAATTGTAGTGACAAAACGTTCGGTAGAAATGCCGGGCTCGGCAAAAATGCCCGACCCCGGATAATGTGAATAGCTTCATATAAATTGTACAGCCACTAGCTCTTCCGGCAGATTTACCGGCGCGGCAGATCTGCCGGTCCGGCGTAGTGGGAACCCGGCCGTAGACACCTTAAAATCAAGATATTATCATTATCATAAGCATATCATTTCTGAAAAAAAATAGCCAATGATAAATTACAGTAGGTATGTAAGTTGTATTATCGGTTTCTATTACATATATTCTAAATTATTACTCAGCTTAATCATAAAAAAAAATTAAGTAGGTATATATTTTATACTGAATACGACTAAACATGAAAGTACATTCTCACTTCTCAGATCAACTAATTATAACTTTGTTGGGTTAGTAAATAAATTTCTATTAAATCTACCCGTATTCTTTTAATCGTCATTAATATAGGCTTTTAAAAGAAATTCTTTTGTCTTCCTATTACCATAAAAAAGCCCCATAGCATGACCTTCATATTGGGGCATTTGTTTGTCAACAACGTTCGGAAGATTATTACGACGTAGCACGCACGTGGTCCGAATACGATCGAGCCGGTTGGGCCGGCATTCGGCAACCGGCGCCGCCATTTTTGTTGTCACGCCACCCTTCTGTCCCTCTCTAGCATGCACTTAGCTCTTCTAACACAATCCATTTACTCCTCAGTAATATCAGCTGTGCATCTCGCTCTTGGGCCTACGTGACCATGTTAACCCTTCGTAATCAAATTGTTATTATATAATTTGAACTAAACAAAGGACTTCGTTATCCCTTTTCTATTATTAAGTATGTATTTCAATAACGAACACCTTCATGTTATTATTAATTTATCGGTCAATTAATAGTATTGGCCTCTGCTTTAGTCTAATCTTGCGAAGTAAACAAAAATCAGGTGATGGTATTATGACCAACGGAGCTGTCAAAATAATCTTGATGAACAACCTTCGAGTCGATATAGTTACATGTTATGGATATATATAGCATAGGCATAGGTATAAAGATAGAATGAATTGTGTTATTGACAGTAAAATAATGCATTATATAAATAATAAGCTGTTATAAATACATATGTACATAAAAAGATATACATAGTTTATGAGTTTGGATGATTGAGCCTTAGTTTATGTGCAATAAGATTTAGCATAAGATATATTAGTTATTTCTAAATTGACTTTTATATTTAAATGTCTACTATCGTTGCTCCTAAGACGGCTTATAGCATAATCTATGATAAGAAATTAGGAGTGATAAGATGCCTTTATTCTAGATACTGTTTGGTCGACATCACATAGTTCTTAATATCTAGTACGAACATAAAATTTTTGTACGATATAAGTATGAAATCGGATCCAATATTATGGTGCCAGAACATTTCTTAAATATTAAGATTTTTTTGGTAAATTTTTGTGAACTTATCTGTTGCTATCCATAGACTAAGAAAAAATAATCGGTAGCACTACCACCATTTTAGGTCTGGGCCTCAGATTTCTGTATCTGTTTCATGATAATGTGTCAATATTATAGGCAAGTAGAAGATCAGCCTCCTGTGCCTGACAC